CACATGCCCTCCATTCCGCACCACAACTCACTGCTCCCGCTGTGTATACACTTGGACCCCAGGGATTAGGGGAGAGGGTAGACTTTGTTTTAATCCCCGAGGCTACTTTGTTTCCCATCCTAGGTTCTGCTCACAAGGGTCAAGAATTGTTAAGAAAGTTGATCTTGGCCCCACTCCAGAGACAGTGCTATTTCAGTGGAGGGACAGGAGGCCCACTATTGCCTCCCTCAGACCTGACATGACTGCGTCCCACAGACTGGCTGCGCAAAGCCAAATGTCCATTTAGCATCTTCTTCACAGGCCTATCATGTCCCTTTGCCCTTTGAACCAAGCTTTTTTCTGTCACTGGAATGTTCTTTCCCTCTTTTTCTGCCTATTAAAATCTTTCCGTTTCCTCAATGCCTTGCACAAGCTCCACCTTCCCTGAAGGGGCCAGCTGGAAACGATCTCTCTCATTTTAAGTCCATAAAGGCTTTATTTTCTATAGTACTCTTTGGCTGCAAAATAAACACTGCCATTGGGTGTTTGGGTTTTGTTTTGTGTGTGTGTGTCTACATGTAATAGCAAGGACTTTGTTTTGTATTTTTCTGCCTCCTGTTGATGACTTGCACATAATAGGCACTCCACAAGTGTTTGTGCATGGTGAAAGCAATACTACCAGCTACCATTAATTGAGCGCCTAATGTGTGCCAGGTACCTTATCTAGATGGTTCTTTTCAAAACTTTTTTGGTTTTGATTAAATACATTTTACATATGCAATAGCTTAATATGTTCTCTTTATAAAAATTAATATTTAATACAGACTAAAAAGTGAAAGCCTCCCTCTTTCCACTTCCACCCTCTACCCTACCCTATCCTCTTACTTCCCTTCCTAGAGATAGCAACTCTTAATAGTTTGGTCTATCTGACCTGTGTGTGTGTGTGTGTGTGTGTGTGTGTGTGTGTGTGTGTGTATAATATATATAAAATCCCTGTGGCTGATATACATACATACAAAATATACATACATATAGTTTTAAATATATATATACACACATATAAATGGAATTATACAATATGTACAAAAACTCATTGTTTAAGCTTTACAAAATCTTGAGAGAAGTCTTATAATTTTTATTTTAGATTTGAGAAAAATTGAGACAAAGAGAGGTGAATTAGCCTTTCCAAGATCACACAGGTGAAAAGTGGAAGAGGCAGGATTATGAATCTGGCCTCTGCTCTTTCATCCAAATCATTGTGGGGTTTACACAACAGCCTCTGGACCACCTGTGTCAGAACCCTGGACAACTTGCTAGATGTGTGTGTTTCCATCTGCCCCTCAGCCCTGGGTTCTGACTCAGTAGGTTAAGGCTGAGGCTCTGGATTCTATAGGGCACAATCACCCACAGGTGATTCAGATGGTTTATAAACACGCTTCTCTGAAGGCATCAGAGGTGGTCTCCTATTTTCTAGCACTTGTCTACACCAGCTAGAGGGACAGTGGAGTGGTGGTGTAGTTGTCTTGACCTACGCTACATAGGTTCAAATCCTGGCTCTAATACTTCCAACTGGTAACTTGGGCAAATTAATTAACTTCTGTGGGTCTAAGTCTCCTCATCTATAAAATTGGGATGGTAGAAAGTAATACCTCACTCATAGGGTTTTTGTGAGGATTAAATGGCAGTTATAGACATAAAGTGTAACAGACATACAGAGTAACACCTGTACAAGTTGCTACTGTTGTTAGAACCAAACTATTCTGGAAGCTTTCTGCGGCTCCTTAGGTCTCTCCAGCAAGCGTTTAACAGTAGGGTCACACATTGTGATTCCTGGTTATGTTCTCAGATTGGATCTTTCCTGAGGGCACCTGCCCAAACATCTTGCTGGAGTCTGCGTCGGAAGATCCACTTGAGTTGAGGCCACTCCCTGTCCATCCGCTCTAGTGATAGTCAGCTGGAAGGAGCTCTAAAGCATCTAGCCATTTCAAGAGGCTTTCCCTGGTGTCTAGTCTATTTCTTTCCTGATGCTTGTTTCAGAGGGCAGCCCTTTGTGGGTGCTGCTGGGGTCCAGCCAGATTCTCTGCGCTGACCACAGCACTCGTCCCCAGCTGAGTGGCTCACAGCTTATGCCTTCTATGCAGAACTGTTTTTGCCTGCTAAAACAGCCTCTCCCAGAGCTGATGGCTTGGGACTGGTGTGCCCTCTTGCCCCTGTGGAGAAGGCCTGCAGTAAATGACTGACTGATATGGGGTGTATAAAGCCTGGCCCCCTTGTGTCAAGTATAGTGGTGAATAACTCTATGATGCTGCAACCCCTGCCCTGGAACAGGCCAAGGCTAGACTTTTGCCAAATCTCTATCTTGCTTGGCTTATTCCCCTGTCCTACTCTGTTTCCCTCCAATCCTGAGATTTCCCTGCCCTCCCTCACTCATTCACCTACACAGGAATCCGTGTCTGGTGTCTGCTTCTAGGGAACCTAAACTAAGACATTGCTGGCCACCATGGCCTGTGATAATAATGTTGGCAATGTACAAGCCACCTCTCAGCCTCTTTGTCCCCCACTTACATAATTATTAGTTCCTTCCCAGAGCCAGTTTTCTAACCTCTTATCAGAAGCTGGCATGAGGGGAAAGTATAATAAATGAAAGAGGGAGCCATGATGCAGTGTGACACCAAGAAACCAGTCACTTGGGAGCCAGAAACAGTGAGAAGGTTCCACTCAAACCGAGTGCCAGGTTCAGTGGTTGGAGGCACTTATTTTCCCTCCTTTTCTGTGCTTTTGTACCTTGAAGTCAAGAGCTCTGAACACCACAAAATAACAGTGCTATTTCCTGCAGATACATTAAACCTAACATAGTGAAGACTGCACAGATGGGAAAGACAAGACATTGTTAAGCCAGTTTATGTCATTGCACTGGATGTTTGGAGGGGAAGGAAGGTGCTGGAAGTTCATACGGGCCACTAATGTGGACCTGCCTCAGTCTATTACAGAAACAAAATGGCCACCAGGAATGCCTGTCCTGCCCACTGCCTTTTGGTTGAGCACTTACTTGACAAATATCTGTTGACATCAGAGCCTTTATGTTTCTCTCTGCAGTGCAGTTGCCTGAATACTATCTTTCCAGAAAGAGTCTGCTGTAATGTTGGGCGCTCATTTTTTCACTCCCTTTCTTAGTTCTCCAAACAAAGCTGTGTGATATGTAGCTTGTTTCTTCCCTTCAGAGGTCAGGGCTGGAGGCCTGGAGAGGGGACATCAGACACAATTAAAGAAAGATGCTTTGATTTGCTATAAAAATTACTTGTGATTTTTAATACAAAATGTGATAGTAGGGAAAAATGTAAAAAACACAAGCACCCAAGGGCAAGTCTAGCAACTTTCTGTGTAATTTTTTAAAACTTTATTTTGGAGAGAGAGGAAGGAGGGAGAGAGACGGGGAGAGAGAGAGAGAGAGATTTTTGTTCCACTTATGTATGCATTCATTGGTTTATTCTTATATGTGCCCTGACCAGGGATGAAACCTGCAACTTTGCCATGTTAGGATGACACTCTAACCAACTAAGCACTAAGCTACCTGTTCAGGGCCTTTTTGCATAAATTTTAACTCACAAATAAATACTTAGTCATTTAATATCCCTTCTTCAGTTTCAAGGTAAGCCTTTGACTTATTTCCTACCATGTTTCACTGCATTTTCAAAAATGTCAGGCCTGGATAAATATTCCCAGCTCCCTGCTAAGTGGGTGTGTTCATATAGATGGTCCAATATTCACTCGATTAACAAACAGTTAATATATATATATATATATATATATATATATTTAATAGATTTTATTTTTTAGAGCACTTTTAGGTTTGTAGAAAAACTGGGTGGATGGCATAGAGTTGCCAGATTTCCTCCCACACCAGTTTCCCCCTATTATTAATGTCTTGCAGTAGAATATTGGTTCAATATTGATGAATCAATATTTTTAAATTATTGTTAACCAATCTCCATAGTCTACATTGGGTTCACTCTTGGGGTTCACTCTTGGTGTTGTACATTCTATGGGTTTTGTCAAGTGTACAATGTCATGCATCCACCATTACAGTATCATACAGAGTGCTTTTACCACCCTGAACATCTGTTGTGCTCCAATTATCCATTCCTCCCTCCCTCTCTCCTGAATCCCTGGCAACCACTGATCTTTTTACTGTCTCTATAATGTCATATAGTTGGACTCATGGTATGTAGCCTTTTCAGATTGGCTTCTTTCATTTCTTAATATGCATTTCTGATTCCTCCATGTCTTTTCATGACTTGATAGCTCATTTCTTTTTGTATTGAATGATATTCCATTGTCTGGATATACATACCCCTTGTATACTAGACATGGGTGTGAGAACTAAAGAGATCCAAAGTGGTCAAAGAATCAGTTTTTACCTTTGAGGAACTTCTAGTCTAGTGGGGGAGAGAAGGCACACACCATGCAAAGTCAGCTAATAATATTAAACATGCCAAAAGACCCATATGGAATGAATAACTGCTGTAACAGCTAAGAGGCAGGAAGAGTTCATGGAGGGCTCAAGGGTGGAAGTGTGATGGGACCAGGGCAGGTGAGACAGAGAGGACAGAGATGGGATTGAAAGAAGGTTCTATGTGTCTCAGCTTTTCAGTGTGTGTCCTCTCACCAGGCTATAGACAAAGAGGAGAGAAAAAGGATATGATGTGCTCACAGTGTGTCCACCTCTCTGGCTTGAGGCTGTCCCTGCACGAGAAGTTTCTCTGGCAATGAACTCGCAGGTGGGTCAGCTCATTTCCGCTCTCAACAGGTGAACAGCCACACAGCAAGAGAACTGGTGTCTTTATTAAATCCCATTTTCAGGCAGCAAATCCTCTTGAATTTTTTTTGTGTGTGAAATATAAAGTTTACTTTAAAAGAGAGTATTTTTATACTGTGTGTGTGTGTGTGTGTGTGTGTGTGGTGAAATAGGTGGTAGGATACCAGAACATTTTTATTCTAGTCTTCATATTTTTCTGCATCAAAAAAGAAATATGGAACACTTGAATTCATGTGTCATCCCTGCACAGGGGTCATGCTAATCTTCTCTGTATTGTTCCAATTTTAGTATATGTGCTGCTGAAGTGAGCACTACACTATTTCTTTATTGTGGTGAAATACACATAAAATTCACCATCGTAACTCTTTGTAAGTGTAGAGTACAGAGGCATTAAGTACATTCACATTGTTGTGCAACCATCACCACCATCCATGTGCAGAACTTTTTTTGTCTTGCCAAACTGAAATTCTGTCCCCATTAAACACCAATTCCCCCTGCTCCTGCCCCGAGCCCCTCCAACCACCATTCTACTTTCTGTCTCTATGAATTTGACTACTCTAGGAACTTCATATAAGTGCTATCCTACAATATTTGTCCTTTTGCATCTGGCTTACTGTTTTCCATAGCAGTGGTACCATTTTACACTCCTATCAGCAGTGCACAAGGGTTCCAATTTTTCCACAGCCTCACCAATACTTGTTGTCTTCTGGTTGTTGTTTTGTTTTTTAATAATAGCCATCCTAATGGGTGTGAAGTAGTCTCTCATTGTGGTTTTGATTTCTTTAGCTAAACTTTTATTTGTTAGGAAAGGAGTTGACAGTAATGATTCCTCTACAAGATGGTGATTGTAAGTGGACTCCAATTTGCCCCTTAGTGGCCAGCCTTCCCGCCTTTGGCAGTTCACCTATGTCCTCTGGGGCCTCTTGTATAAAATGTTAAAATCCCTTCCTCACACTAATCTCCCTTCCCCAGGGATGATCAGTGTTACCAGCTCATATATAAAAGGTTCTTCTAAATATTTAAATGCACATAGATATGCACATATGAGAAGTAAAATATAGTCATGTTTTATCTTTTGTTACTTCAATTTTTAAATGGCAAGCATGTTAAAGTGCAGGGTGGAGAGGCCTGGGTAATACCAGAATAAGAGCACTGGGTGTTAGACGAGGGGGAGGAAGGAACACAGAATTGGGGGCCACCCTTTATGTTTCCCTTTCCCCTACCTCTATTAGCGAGATTTTTGGTTTTGTTTTCGCAAGACATTTCAGTGTCTTGCAAGCACACAAAAGACTTTCCAGGAAAGCCAAGACCAAGGCCTGGCTGACTGGGCTGATAAAGATGCAATCAGCCACTTTTTGATTTGGACAGTTTGTTACTTGTAGAAATAGTGAAAGAAGATTAGCCAAAGGTGCCAGCTCCCTGGGTCCTTGCCCCACACTACAGAGGATGACACTGACACAAATGGGGCTGGATGAGCTAATTCTTGTCTGGCAGTATAAAACTAGGCAGTTTATGGTTGGCAGGTCTGTCCTGAGGAGGGCTGTGTGGAAATCTCATACCTCATGAGGACCCAGGAAGTAATGAGAAATAGTCTCCTGAAAGCTTCCTAGGGGACACAGAGGGGTGTTATGGGCTGAATTATGTCACCCCCAGCCCAAATTCATACTGTTGATTTCCTAACACCCAGTACCTTAGAATGTGACTGTGTAGACAGATGGTCCCTGACTTAATGATGGTTTGACTTAAGATTTTTCAACTTGACAATGGTGTGAAAGCGATATGCATTCACTAGAAACCGTACTTCAAATTTTGGATTTTGAACTTTTCCCATGCTCATGATATGTTCTGTGATAGTATCGCATGATGCTGGGAAGCAATAGCAAGATGATTTTGCCCAACTGTAGGCTAATGTAGGTATTCTGAGCACATTTAAGTTAGGCTAGGCTAAGCTAGGATGTTCAGTAGGTTAGGTGCATTAAATGTATTTTCATCTTACAATATTTTCAGCTTATGATGGGTTTATCAGGATTTAACCCCATTATCAGTCAAAGAGCATTTGTATATGGAGACAGAGCCTGTAAAGAAGTGGTTAAAAGCCCTGGCTGGTGTAGCTCAATGGATTGAGCGTGGGCTGCAAACCAAAGGGTCGCAGGTTCAATTCCCAGTCAGGGCACACGCCTGGATTGCGGGCCAGGTCCCCAATGGGTGCCACACGAGAGGCAACCACAGATTGATGTTTCTCTTAAAAAAGAAAAAGAAAGAAGTGGTTAAAAGACCATGTGGCCCTAATCGATCTGGCTCAGTTGGTTGGGTATCAGTCTGCAAAGCAAAGGCTAGCCGGTTTGATTCCTGGTCAGGGTACATGCCTGGGTTTTGGGGCAGGTCCCTGGTTGGGGGCATTCGAGAGGCAATGATGGATGTTTCTCTCTCACATCAAAGTTTTTCTCCTCTCTCCCTCCTTCCCTTCCCTCTCTCTAAAAATAAATAAATTATATATATTTATATATATATATATAATGTATATATATGTATATATATATGGTTTACATATATATATATAATGTATATATATATATATATAAAAATGTGTGTGTGTGTATATATATACATTTTTAAAAAGAAGATGATCACATGGATGGGCCCTAATCCAGTCTGGTGTCTTTATGAGAAGAGGCAATTAGGACACACACATGCACAGAGGGAAGACAATGTGCAGATACAGGAGAAGCCAACCATCTATAAGCCAAGGAGAGAGGCCTGGAGCAGATATTTCCCTCTCTGCCTTCTGAATGAACCAACCTTGCTGACACCTTGATCTTGGACTTCTAGCCTTTAAAATGGTGATAAATTCAATTTCTATTGTTTAAGCCACCCAGTCTCTGGTACTTTGTTATGGTAGCTAGAGCAAACTAATACAAGAGGCAAATAGAAGATGGCCTCAGGGCTTACTCCTCATAAGTCTACATCTTCCCGTGTTCTGCCAAGACTCAGGTTAGCAGCAGTTCAAGACTTTCCTTCATGGCCCATGTGGACATGTGGAGGGCACCATGGTGGAGCTGTTTCTAGGCGAACACCTATCTGCTGTATGAATAATGAGATATCATGTGATACCCATGACTTCCAAATACCTTAATGCATGCACGCGCGCACACACACATTCACTTGAAAAGTTGTGAAGTATGGTTTTAACTTTAAAAGTTTTATTTTAAAGATGGGATTATGCTCTGCCCACTGTTTTGAAAGACTTTTTTTTTTTTTTTTTTGCTTAATGGGCAGTATTACAGGCTGTCTCACAGTGGGACCTGCCCCCTGGATCGCCACTATAGTAATGTACTCTTAAGGCCAACATTTCCACAGACCATCCCCTGAGTTCCTACCTTCCCAATGGTGACATTGGTATCTTGAGAGGTGACCCAGTAAGGAAACTATTGTGTTTTCAATACCAGAGGTCATGGTGAATTAGATAGGACAGTGGCGATGGAGAAAATTAGATGAATTTGAGATTTATAGAACATATGTAAAATCTCACTCCTTTTTCTCCTCACTGCATTCCTCTTCCCTGGTTCATATGTGAAAAGTCCTTCCAAATATTTAATGCACACAAATTTCCACATACAAGTCCCATTTCATCTTTTATTTGTTTAGAAAGTAGAGTCATACTATGCTAATAGTATATCATACTATTTTTTCAGGATGCTTCTTTTCACCTAATGACACGTGAGCAGCCTTACATATCAGAACCTACATATGTTGCTCATTCTTTTTTATCAGCTATATGCTATTCTATGTCAGTATGAAACATTGTATTATATTTTTTAACTATCCCATTATTGACAAACACAGAGGTTGGCCCTATTTTTTAACGTTACAACAAGCACCCTTGGATGTGCAATTTTGTTCTTTCCAGAGTTCATGTAAGAATGATTTCTAAAGTGAAAGTATTGTCAGGAGGTATATACCCAACAGAAATGTGTTTGTATGTGCACCAAAACACATACAAGAATGTTCCTAGCAGTACCACTTGCATAGCCCCAAACTGGAAACAACCCAAATGTTCTTCACCACACAACAAAATAGTCAAGTTCCATCTAGCCATGCAATGAAATTCTATACAGCAAGAAAAATAAATGCTCTGCTTCATAGAACAACATAGATGAAGCTTAAAAATATAATATTCAATGAAAGATGCCAGACATGAAAGAATATAACTACATAATTCCATTCATGGGATGTTCAAAAACGGGCAAATTCCATTAGAAGTTAAGATAGTGGTTACCTTTGGGGGAATTTACTGATGGAGAGAGGACCCAGGGGGCTTCTGGGCACAGATAATATTCTCTTTCTTGATCTATGCAATGGTTACCCAGGGATGTTCAGTGTCTGAGCCACACACAATTTGTGTACTTTTTAATGATCATGCTCTATTTCAATAAAAGTTTCCCTGCATTACTTTAAAGGCACATGTGTTTAAAATAGTGATTGCAACTATCAAATTGCCCTCCAAAATGGTGGCACAATAATGCACACTCACCAATAACATACATGTGCTCTTTCCCCACATCCTTGCCAACAGTGATGTTAGAAGGCTTTTTGATTTTTTGCCAGTTTGATGGCATTTGCATTTTCCTAATCACCAGCAAGTTGAGTATCTTTCATGTTTATTGGCTATTTGCATGTCTTTTTCTATGAATTATTGTTTATACTTTTTCCCATTTTTCTATTGAACTGTTTGGTTCTTATTTATATATAATGGATATTAACTTTTTGTTGGATGTGTTGCAAACATGTGCTCCTAGAGCACCTTTTGTCTTTTCACTTTGTTTATGGCACTTCTCAGAGGCCTGCTGGGGCAAGGCAGGCAACACAAATAAGTGACACAGGCTTGGAGGGCTGTGGCAGGCCTGGGAGTGTGCATCCTTCTGCTGGGTTCTGGCCAAGTGTTGCCGGTGGGAAGGTAGGAAACAGTGTGTTATATCTCATTCTTCAGAGGAATGAGGACTCTTGTAGGAAAACTTCCAATTTAAAAATGCTGGCAACTTGTTAAAAAATGTTAAGCACTGTAAGAGACAACACATGTTCAAGCTGGGTGGGATCTGCAGGACACCAGTCTGCAGCCTCTGGCTGGTACTGTGTTTCACTGCAGAGGAGGTTTGTGCTGTCCCATCTGTCCATTTTTTTCATGATTTTTGAGTTCTATGACATATTTTTAATCAGTTTAACACATTTTAAAAACTCTCTAAATCCTTCTCATTTAAGGATACAGAGAGAAGCTTTCCATGCTTTTATTCAAGTCTCCTTAATGAGAAATAAAG